ATGAAAATACCCTGAAATTTCTATTTCACATGCCTTTTGATTGGAGCTGACTTTCCCATTGTGGTCATTTTTCTGTTAACTGCCACAGTTTCTGTTTCTGGTCACAGGTTTCCAAATCACTTGGTTGATCACAGCGCGGCTATTCAGTTGAAAACTGAAAGAGGAAATGTTGATGGATATTAATACTTTGACAGCCGATTCCCTTTTGGTCCTCTCTTTTGCTTTTGCTTTGCGCGTCATTTGGTACAATTTTCAGAACTTTTGTGTTCTCTGATTGATTTTCATCGGATACTTACGAGTGTAAACTCTGAAATAAATATATTCTAGTAAGAGGAGGTGCATTTTTAGTTTTCCATATTGAAAACTTTTAACGTTCTTACAAGCAAGCAAGCAAAGTGTAAGAAACTGAAATTAATTATCAGCTTAGTTTTTGCATTAACCTCGTTTTGTATTAATCTCGCTTTGTATTAACCTCGCTTGGAATTAACCTCGAGAGCACGTTGTGCATGAAAGTGTGTGTGAAGTTCGCAAAAAAGATAGAAGACTAGATTGTGAGTTGTTTTCTTTTGGAAAGCCTTCGTCTCGCTTGACAAAGAATCCAGTTTGGTAAAAGAAATTTTAAAGGAAGAACTGTTTGGGAATAACAAAAGAATATATTCAAAGTAATATTTAGCAAACATGTAAAAAGCAAAGCAAACACAAAACGAACACAACCCACAGTAATTACATTAGCTTGACGTTTACTTGAAATTTGAACCTTGAGACATATTTAATGGAGTATGATCAGATACAATCATGATTTTCTTGCTTTAAGGGTGTTGTAACTTGCCATTTTTATATTCTTTGTCTCTCTTTGCATATGATGCAGTTAATATAGTGTTCAAGAAAGAAAGTGGTATTCATTCTCCATCGATGAGCTTTAGCCCCTCTTAGTATTTTACAATATTTGCTAAAAGTACTTGGAACAGCGAAGCAGTTTCAGTCAATTCTCGTTTTTTTCAATGCACGCCTATAGAAATAGCTGAGTTGCTACTTTCCTTTAAAAAGATTTTGGGAATATACTGCTCGAAAACATTACGTAATTGGCTTAACTTAGCTTGGCTGCAACGTCATAATCTTATTTGTTTTGTTGTCAAGGTGATTGATTGCGTGGACATATTTGAACCCCGTAAATAATAGCTACGTAAGCATTTTCTGTGTTGTGATTTAGCATGTAACGTAATCTTTGTATTTTGTTGTTATGGCGAAAAGGTTAATTTTAGCAGTAGAAATAGTATAAATAAGGGGTAAGAACGTAGTTGTGTCTTGTGTAGAGTGTAAGAGGAGACGAGGTACGATACTCGCCTCTTGGAATCAAAATATGATTTTACTATAAATTATCGTGAGTTTTATTTAGTGGCAGAGGAAATTCTTTGGGCCTATAGTCAAAGCCTTAAAAAGCGGTTGGAAAATTCCCCACAACACCAATGGCAGAGCCAACGACTAGGCTCTGGGGATCTGTGGAGAGGGAGGGACAAAACAAAGATATTTGGGCCACACCCTTTTTTCATCAGAAAACACCCTTTTTCCAATATGGAACGCCAATTCAACCTCAAAGAAAGGCCCACGACTAAATTTTGGTTACGTAAAGTGAGTTTGAAAATCATAGCATTATATCACAAAAAGTACATTGCCAAATTATTATCTCTTTAGACGAAATGAACTATTGATTCTGCCGAGAACTGGGGGGACGTGCCAATATCTGTGATCACAATGACACAATGTGTTTTTTCTTTATGCATTCATAAACTTATGATATAGAGTTTATATTAACATGTTAAATGAACAACGCGAGGCATTGTCAAACATAGTAACCTCAATAACTGCGCAAATAATTACTGGTTTTATAAGTTCGACTCTTTTAGATTTACAAAATATCAGTTTTAAAATAAGGAGGTTTGACTGTTTGAGGCTTGGGTGGAATCTTGATATATTTGGTATAGCAGTCAGAGTTCTTAGATTATGACGTCATAAAACCTTAAGTTGAATTTGTAATTTTCATAAATTTTGAGTGTGGACCAAATGATTCGAAAGGCAATCATGAGTTAATCATGAGATATATCTAAATATGTTACAAAACAGGCTTCCCTCCATTAATTCACTTTCCCTAGGCAAAAACA